TAGAGACAGGATTTCACCATGTTGGCCAGGATGGTCTCGATCTCTTGACCTTGTGATCCACCCACCTTGGCCTCCCAAAGTGCTGGGATTACAGGCGTAAACCACCATGCCCGGCCATGAATTTTTAAAACAACGCTTAAAAATAACAAATTTGGTGTTGGCATAGAGGGTGAATTGAGGTTATGCTGGAGACAGGTAAGAACCTTTGTCTGGTAGAGGATGGTGATGGAAATGTTGAAGTTCAAGAAGAGTGAGCAGTTGTTAGGACCTGGTAACTGATGAATGGACCACAAGAAAGGAGAGTCAGAGGGTGGTTTTCATCCTGGTTGAATGGAGACATTACTGACAGGAACAGAGAAGTTGAAGGAAACAGGTTTGGGGAGGTCAGTGGGAAAAGAATAAATTTTAATTTTGCCTGCTTTTAAATTCCAAGTGAGGGTGACACATCCTAACAGTGACATCCAGTAGGTGGTTGGGAGAAACACAAATTGGAGAGCCCTCAGCAGTTTAGCTATTTTTTGTTTTTCCGATACAGGGTTTTGCTCTGTCTCCTAGGCTGGAGTGCAGTGGTGCAACCTCAGCTAACTGCAGCCTCCACTTCCTGGGCTCAGGTGATTCTCCCACCTCAGCCTCCTTAGCAGCTGGGACTACAGGTGAACACCACCACACTTGGCTAATTATTTTTTTTTTGAGACAGAGTCTTGCTCTGTCACCCAAACTGGAGTGCAGTGGCACGATCTTGGCTCACTGCAACCTCTGCCTCCTGGGTTCAAGCCATACTCCTGCCTCAGCCTCCCCAGTAGCAGGGATTACAGGCCTGCATCATCATCCCCAGCTAATTTTTGTATTTTTAGTAGAGATGGGGTTTCACCATGTTGGCCAGGCTGATCTCGAACTCCTAACCTCAGGTGATCTGCCTGCCTCAGCCCCCTAAAGTGTTGGATTACAGGCATGTGCCAGTGTGCCTGGCCAGGAAAAAAATAATTCATGTGTTCTTGCCTCTTCTACTAGTTCTTGTATCACAAGGATAAAAACAGCTCATATCCATACATACAAATGCCTTTCATCATCTAACAAAAAGAACTTAGACTCCTCAGACTTCTATTTGGCCTTCATCCTAGATTTTGGTAGACATGAGCTTCTGCTGATTTATACTTTTGGCCCATGGCCCATTTTTTTTTTTAGGATGTAAGCATGATAGCTGAGCTGTCACCTCCTGAAGGTCAGTTTAGCACTACGGGCCACAAGAGCTAGGGCCCATGTGTCTCCTTCAGACTTCTCCCACTAGCAATTTAATATGAAAAATTTCCAATATATAAAAATGTTGAAGGAATTGTACAGTGAATACCCATGTAGCCACCTCCTAGGTTGTACAGTGAGCATTTTGCTTTATTTGCTCTATCCCTGTCTCTGTTTGTTCAATAATCTATCTTTTTTTTTTTTGAGACAGGATCTCGCTCTGTCGTTCAGGCTGGAGTGCAGTGGCGTGATCTCAGCTCACTGCAACCTCCATCTCCTGGGTTCAAGTGATTCTCCTGCCTCAGCCTCCCCAGTAGCTGGGATTACAGGCACCCGCCACCATGCCCGTCTAATTTTTGTATTTTTTTAGTAGGGTCACATCTCCACAGGGTCATGGGGTGTCCCCTATTGCTGTGTTGAGTCGCAGGATCCAAGAAATAAAGAGACAGGACATAGACAGACTGGAAAAGAGCATCTGGGCTCTGGGGGCCACGCCACCTATGAACGGAGACAGGCGAGGCCCTGAACGTCCAGAAGCATCTGTATTTATTAGGTACAAGGCAGGGGGAAGGGTGGTGAGTGAGGTAATATATAGGCTTAATGATAGGGCATGTATAATCACATGAGTAGCAAGTGAGGGAGCTACCCCATTAGGTCACCTAGCCAGAGAGGTGGGCCGTGTGCAGTAGGGGGCTGTGCCGTGCACAGTAGTAGAGAGACTCATGTACAACAAGGGGGTCCACCTCCATTAGGTCACCTGGGCAAGGAGGTGAGCTGTGTGCAACAAGTGCCGTGTGCAACACTTCTTATCTGGGGGCTGGAGACTTCAAAGGATTCCGATGGAAGGATGCTGTAAACCAATGCAGTGGGACCTGACAGAGTGTGCTCTGCTCTAAGATAATTTATAGGAGAATGATTTGAGCCGTCCCAGTGGCGAGGAAAAGCTCACAGGGTGTATAGCTGCCGTGGCGCAATTACACCAGAGGGGTTCTTCTCCCTCGGTTGTTCATGAGATCTCAGGCCTGAGGCCTACTTTCCACAAGAACTGGATGCAAGGTACGGCCACTCCTTTTCAGGAGGAATAACTCTTGCTCCAAGCCAGCCATGCAGCGGGTATTGAATGCTGCCATCTAGGCCCTGACCTGCCACATAGTGTATGCCCTTTCAGGCAGGGGCACTAC